CCTTCGGTGGAGCTCCCTATGGGGCCACGAAACGTGTGAGGGGTGTGCCGAAATGGGTGGTGGGGAGGCATGCGGACCCTGCCACTGGGGCCTTCGGTGGAGCTCCCTATGGGGCCACGAAACGTGTGAGGGGTGTGCCGAAATGGGTGGTGGGGAGGCATGCGGACCCTGCCACTGGGGCCTTCGGTGGAGCTCCCTATGGGGCCACGAAACGTGTGAGGGGTGTGCCGAAATGGGTGTGGGGAGGCACGCGGACCCTGCCACTGGGGCCTTCGGTGGAGCTCCCTATGGGGCCACGAAACGTGTGAGGGGTGTGCCGAAATGGGTGGTGGGGAGGCATGCGGACCCTGCCACTGGGGCCTTCGGTGGAGCTCCCTATGGGGCCACGAAACGTGTGAGGGGTGTGCCGAAATGGGTGGTGGGGAGGCATGCGGACCCTGCCACTGGGGCCTTCGGTGGAGCTCCCTATGGGGCCACGAAACGTGTGAGGGGTGTGCCGAAATGGGTGGTGGGGAGGCATGCGGACCCTGCCACTGGGGCCTTCGGTGGAGCTCCCTATGGGGCCACGAAACGTGTGAGGGGTGTGCCGAATGGGTAATGGGGAGGCATGCGGACCCTGCCACTGGGGCCTTCGGTGGAGCTCCCTATGGGGCCACGAAACGTGTGAGGGGTGTGCCGAAATGGGCGTGGGTGACGATGACGATGATGATGACGATGATGATGATGATGATGATGATGATGATGATGATGATGATGATGATGATGATGATGATGATGATGATGATGATGATGATGATGATGATGATGATGATGATGATGATGACAACGACGACGACGACGACGACGACGACGACGACGACGACGACGACGACGACGACGATGACGATGACGATGACGATGACGATGACGATGACGATGACGATGACGATGATGATGATGATGATGATGATGATGATGATGATGATGATGATGACGATGGGAAGAGGGAGGAGGGGGAGGAGGAGAGGAACGCGGGGCACCGTCTCTTCAAAACGAGGACCCAACACCACAGGATGGTTGGGAACAAAAAAACAAATTACTTTTTTTTTTGATAATATATATAAAATATATTATTTTTTTACCCAAAAAAAAAAAATGCCCCAGCCGTTCAGTGTTACGGTGGTAAGTTGATGTGTGTTTCACCTCTTTCCGCTTAGCGGGAGGGGTTGCTCGGGTCGGTTTGCACGCGCCCTGAAAAAATCTGCAAGCTTTTCGCCGGTGAAAAACCGGCCCTGGGGAAGGGGTCGGGACTTCCAGGGGGGCCTCCCTGAAAAAATCAGGACGTCAAATGTCTGGGTCCTCCACTCTGGACTGGGATCCGTGCCAGGACCCACACCGAACACCGGCCTGAGCAGTCTCTTCTCACGCCCCGTCAAGTCGTGGCCACGAGAACGCCCCGGGAGGTCCAAGAAGGGCAAGAGCGCCTCCCCTGCCTCCGATCCCCGCACCCTGGCCTCCCCCCCCGTCCCCGGCCCTGCCCCGAGACACGTCCCCCACATCTGCCCTCCCCTCCCCAGCACGCTCCGCTCCGCAGCCTCTCTCACCACCACCTCCCGCCCCACTGACCCCCCCCCCTCCTCCCTCCCCAGCGAGAGAGGGCCCGTCGAGACATCGGCGACCCTCCCGAACGAGGAGGGGGGAGGACGAGGAGGGAGAAGGGGGGCCGCCGATGCCTCGGCGGGCCCCTGTCCGATCCCCTCCCCGCCTCCTGTGCACGAGCGCGCGTTCCACCCCTCGCAGGGTAGCTGCTCGCAAAAACGGCCTGGAGCCGCCGAGGGGGGGCTCGACGATCCATGGCACCAGGGGCACGCATGGGTTCTTCGAACTTCTGTCGGCGGCGGGCGGGGGGGGGATTCAGAAGGACAAGGCCCTCTCAGAAGGCGGCGGGACTTCTCACGAGCCCTTGCGCCTTCTCAGAGATATGTTTGCAGATTCGGGGAGGGCTTAGAGAACTTCTCAGAAGGCCGGGGGACTTCCGAACCTTTTGAGAGGGCCTTCTCCTTCTCACTTCCCCGCCTCGCTCGCCGCCGAGTTTGCGAGTAGGCACTGCGCGAGTAGCGGAACGCGCTCGGTGATCCGACTGCCGAGGACATCGCCGAGAGGGCCCGGCCCTCTTCCGAGGGCGGCCTGTGCTCTGGGCAGGGACACGAGGGGGGAACGTCTGGAGACGGCGACACTGATGGGCCTGTTTTCCACCAACACGAGGGGGGTACGTCTGGAGACGGCGACACTGATGGGCCTGTTTTCCACCACCACCACCACCACCACGAAAAGTTGGAGGGGGGAAGGAGAGGACGACGAGGAGGACGAAGAAAAGGAGGAGGAGGAGGAGGAGGAGGAAGAGGTGGAGGAGGAGGAGGAGGTGGAGGACCCCCTCCCCCTCCAACTTCTGGTGGTGTTGGAAAACAAGCCCATCAGAAACCTCGCCTCTGCATTGGCGATGGGCTCTCGACGGCAGAGCCGCACGGTCCTGGCGGAGGAGGCCGTCGACGAGAAACGGGCGAGCGGGGGCCGACGCACCCCGCCCCCCCCGGGAGCCCGTCCGCCCCCCCCGCCCCCGCGCTGCCCACGAGGAGGGGGCGCGAAGCGCGATAGGCAGAGGGCGCGAGGGCGCCACCAATACGCAGTGTGCTGTTGCATTGTCTCGCCGAGCGCGCTCCACTGCTCGCAAAAGTGCCTGCCTGCAGACGTCCTGACCAAAAACAACACGTTTTCCTCTGGGTAATCGGCCGTGTATCCCACGCGGCGGATCTGGGCCATTTGCGAGTAGCTACTCTGCGGGTAGTGGAACGCGCTGGTCGACTGTCCGAGGCGGCAAGGGGGAGGGAGGACCCGGGATGACGGCAACACTTGGGCGGGGAGGGGGGGCCACGTCAGGGCGGGGGCGCGCTGCGGTCGCCACGGTGTGCGCGCGAGCACGAGCATGGTTGGGGCGGGGGCAGTCCAGGCCCCCCCCCCAATGCGATCGTTACCGTCACCCTGTGGCGGGGAAAGGGGATTTGTTCCGGGTAACGACCCCAGACATGCGACGTCATGATTTTCCCGGACAGCGTCCCCAGAAGTCCCGAACTGTTCGCTGGGACCAGTCTTTCATCCTGAACCGTTTTTTGACGGTCCCGAGGCCCGGCGAAGGCCTCCACAGCCCGAAGACGGCGAAAAACCTCCGTCCTGAATTTTCTACAACGCGAGCATGTATGGGACCCTTACGCGCCAGAGGACAACAACAACAACAACAACAACAACAACAACAACAACAACAACAACAACAACAACAACAACAACAACAACAACAACAACAACAACAACAACAATTACTAGCACGTGGGGACACTCCGTTCTCACCAGTGCCAGGGTTTTCATAGGAGGCGGGCAATACCCCCACTTTGTGGGGGGGCCGGTTCAAGCTCTACCAAATTTCCAAACGACTCTTCGCCACCACCCACACCCAGCTTCCCGCCCTATGACGTTCGGACACTTCACTTCGTGGCATGCGGACGACCGTGGCTACTATTCAGGGCCCCGCGGCCGACGACGACGGCGTGCGCGCGCGAAGAAAAAACGAATGTGTCCCGCATGGTATTATTTGACAGGGATGATGGCCCTGGCAGGTGCGCAACCGTTGTTGCAGAAGTTCGAAAAAGTTGCTCGCAAAAGCCCGTTTGACAGAAATGTTTAAAAGGTGTTGGGTTTCCTACGAATCCGCAAAGAGCGCGCGGGATGAAATTGTGACTTTTTTATAATAAAAAAAATGGTTTATTGATGTTTATATGTTAAAATCGTTACGAAAACTAAGGTTTTGGAAGGATTTCGTCTTGCGCGCGCGAATGTCCACTTTACCTTATTTTGTTGCAAGGGATTTTTGAAGTTTGGTTATGTTAGAACAAGAAATGTCCACTTTAGCTCATTTTTTGCAAGGGAAAGCGGGCCGTAACAAAACAACCGGATCCTGACCAACCCGTTTTGCCTGAGACTTCCTCACGAAAATGATGAAAATGTGGCTGCGGCCTAGGCGCGGCGGGGGGGCCGTGCACCAGGGGCCCCAACAATAATTATTCTTTAGAAGTAATAATGTTCAACAACAACAGCAGCAAGAACAACAACCACAACAACAACAGCAACAATCATTTAAGACTGGGGACACTGCGTTCTCACCAGTGCCAGGGTTTTCATAGGAGGCGGGCAATACCCCCACTTTGTGGGGGGGCCGGTTCAAGCCCTACCAAATTTCCATACGACTCTTCGCCACCACCCACACCCAGCTTCCCGCCCTATGACGTTCGGACACTTCACTTCGTGGCATGCGGACGACCGTGGCTACTATTCAGGGCCCCGCGGCCGACGACGACGGCGTGCGCGCGCGAAGAAAAAACGAATGTGTCCCGCATGGTATTATTTGACAGGGATGATGGCCCTGGCAGGTGCGCAACCGTTGTCGCAGAAGTTCGAAAAAGTTGCTCGCAAAAGCCCGTTTGACAGAAATGTTTAAAAAGTGTTGGGTTTCCTACGAATCCGCAAGAGCGCGCGGGATGAGATTTTGACAATTTTTTGTTGAAAAACCATTGGTTTTTTGATGTTTTTATGTTAAAATCGCTGCGAACACTAAGGTTTTGGAAGGATTTCGTCTTGCGCGCGCGAATGTCCACTTTACCTTATTTTTTGCAAGGGATTCTTGAAATTTGATTATATTAGAACAAGAAATGTCATTTTCTATTGTTTTTTGCAAGGGAAAGCGGATTACAACAAAACAACCGGATCCTGTACACACCCTCTTTTCTGAGGCTTCCTCACGAAAATGATGAAAATGTAGCTGCGGCCTAGGCGGCGCAGGGGGGGCGCGCACCAGGGGGCCCAACAATAATTATTCTTTAGAATAAATAATGTTCAACAAAAACAAAAACAAAAACAAAAACAAAACAGTATCCCTGCTCTTGCAGGCCCGACCCACCAGCGAGACCCGAGCGGCCCTCTGGAGGGACCGGGAAGCCTGGAAGAGCGCGGCGCGAATGGCGTAGCCGACGTGGTCCTCGGCCAGCGCCGATCCCGGCGGCCGCCCGGCCGGCAGGCGGACATCGACGGCGCCACGGAGACCCACGACCACCACCGCGACGACGACGACGACGACGACGACGACGACAACGACGACGACGACGACGACGACGAAGATCACGACCACGACCAAGACCACGACCACGACCACGACGGCCACGACGGCCACGACGGCGGCGAGGGGGACCAAGACTGTGCGCCCCGGCGGGGCGGGGAGGTCCTCATTGGCATCCTCGCCGGCCCTGTGCTGGAGCCGGAACGCGTCGTAGGCGGCCGCCTGCAGGGCGCCCCGATCACAGGCACGTGCCCCCTCCCCCCGGGGCTTGCACTGCGAGTCAAGCAGCCTTCGTAGACGAGTATATAAAGTACCAAGGTGTGCGCCGCCCGCGGGGTGCGCGATGTGTTGGGCCACCACCCGTGGGCTTGGGTCGCGCCATCCATGGGCTGCGCCAGTGGCAGCGCCATGGGGTGCGCAGTCCATCGGTTGCACCGTAGGATGCGGCATGGGTTCTGCCGTCCGTGGGGTTCGCCATATTTTTCCTCACCGGTTTTGCATTCGGCGGCCGAACACAGTATTGTTTTATATTGACTGTGCCATCACATCCACCTCGCCTAAGATCCGACGTTGGAAAAAACATGCTCCACCGCAGAAAACCACGCCCGGAGCCCCAAACCCCATCTTCCTGCGTCGTTTTTCGAGCCAGATCGATATGTGAAGGTCCCGGGACCCGAAATTGAGCGAAAACGCCCGTTGGTAAAAAAATGCGACGCCAGGATTTCAGGGTCCTATCAGCTGCCCCCCCTTCGTCCATTGCGCCACCACGCCCAGGTCGTCCCCCCTTCGCGCACCCCTCCCCCCCGCTCTGCGCTCCACACGAGGGGTTCCACTGTGGGCTCAGGGCCGGGCGGGGCCTGGCCCGTTTCCTCCCCTTGACCTAACCCCCCCTTTTCCTGGGGGGGGGGCCCGCGGAAACAAGGTTGACCAGGGGAGCAGGACAGGAGAGGAACAGAGTCGGCGGCGAACCCAAGGGAAGAAGTGAATCTCAGAACGCGGGAGAAGCCCCCGCCGCTTGCTGAGAAACCCTTCTGATCCTCCCCCGAGGACACAAGCTTTCGAGGGCTGCTGGGGGGCCAGCATAGAGGGCACCCGCCGCAGATTCGGATTAGACCTCGCCATCCTGGAGGGGCTGCGATTTGCAAAATTGTCGCCAGTTTCGAGGGCTGCTGGGGAGGCCAGCAGACTGGGGTCCCACCCAGACTCAGACTAGTCCTCGCCATCCCTGGGGACTGCGTTCTACGAAACGGCCGCCACTTTCGAAGGCTGTTGGGGAGGCCAGCGGAGTGTGGAACCACCCAGATTCAGATCAGACCTTGTCAACCCTGCGATATGCGAAAATGCCACCACTTTCGAGAGCTGCTGGGGTGTCCAGCGGAATGGGGCCCCACTCAGGCTCTGAGTAGACCTCGCCATCGCTGAAAGGTGTGCGATATGCGAAACGGTCGCCACTTTCGAGGGCTGTCGACGGGTCCAGCGAATGACGTCCTACGCAAAATCAAAGTCGACCTCGCAATCCCTGGGAGCTGCGATCTGCGAAACTGCCGCCAACTTCCAGGACTGTTAGGGGCTTCAGCGGGATGTGGCACCACCCAGATTCGGATTAGACCTCACCATCCCAAGGGGGGCTGCGATCTGCGAAACTGCCGCCACTTTCGAGGGCTGCTGGTGGGCTCCGCGGAGCGAGGCACCACCTCGAATCAGACTAGACCTCGCCAATCCTCGGGGGCTGCGATCTGCGGAACCGCCGCCACTCTCGAAGGCCGCTGGGGTCCAGCGGGGCGGTGTCGCGGGCCGCCCGCAGACTTGGCGGCGCGCCTTCGAGCGCTTAGCTCCCGCATTGAAAAATGCTAGAAGGAAGCACGGACGCTGGCAGGCGACCTGGGCCTCGCTCGCTGCCTGCACCAACTAGACGCAAGTTTAACCATGTTGTCGAGCGCCGCAGCGACATTGCGAAGGCAGCGCTGCACTTTTAACGAACTACCGACAAAAGCAACACTCTTCGGTCTCCTCCCGTCACTTTCGGCATCGTCCTCTGCCCCCTGACACCTTCCCGCTGCTGCTGCTGCCGCGCTAACGGTTCGGGCCCCCGCGCGCCCTTGTCCTGCCCTCCGTTCCCGCCCCCATGTATTCCTCAAGCCTGGGCACTTTCTCCTCCTCCTCCTTCTGTTGTTGTCCTGTGCACCGTGCCACGCGAGCACACCCCATGCAGCCTGCGCAGCCCACAACGGCGCCTGCGCTGTCCGTGTCCTGGCAAGTTGGGACCAACTCCCCTTGTCACTTGATGCACATGGGCTGGGCACGTCGCAGGATAGTTGAATCCCTATGACCATCCTCGCCCTCGTCATCCTCTGAGCGTCTGCCCTCTCGTTCTGCTGCTGGAGCCACGCAGGCACATCCCCAGGCGGACGGAGCACGCCTGGTCCACCGACAGCGTCGAGTAGGCCCCCTCCGCGCGCATCACGGGGCTGGCTGCGCCGAGCACGACGGCGAGCGCGGAGGAGAAACGCTGCGCCATACCTCCCGGCCGTAGGGGGAGGCAGGAGAGCCCGGGGTCGAATCGAGAAGTCGGACCGGCGACCGAAAAGAATCGGATCGGCAGGAAAGTAATCGGCAGCCAAGTCGAGAGGAGCCGAGTCGGCGGAAACTGGCGGGCTAGCAAGGCGTGCGAAACCGAAATCCAACTCGGAATCAAAATGGATCAAAGTCGAATCGAATCGATTCGGAGGAATCAACCTGAGCCCTGGGAGGACGTGGGGATCGGGGCTTCCCGACGACCCTGTAGCCTTCGGGCTCCACGAGGCCTGAACCTCCGCGGTGGGACTAGAGGAGCCAGAGCAGGAGGAGTGACGGGCGGGTGGAGGAAGAAGTGGAGCGGAGGGGGAGACGCTGGAGGGGGAGGAGGCGGAGGAGGAGGAGGAGGAGAGGAAGGAGGAGGAGGAGGAGGAGAAGCAGGAAGAAGACGGACGGACGGACGGACGGACGGACGCCACCTCAGAGAAGCTGTCCCGTCGAAGGGGATGGGCGCGCAACGCACGAAGCGCGCAGTACGACATGTGCACGAATCCGGATTCAGGATCATGCCATTGATGCTCGGACGGTAATTGGTACCAATTCTCTGGTGTAACATCTATTCCGAGGCTCTGCAAATACCAGCATATGTCATCAGACCACCGCCTGCGCGGCCTGTTCGGCGGCCTGCCTTTAGCTCGCTTGTCTGGGCTGGCGTCCCACATTGCAGAGGAGGGAGGGGAAAGGAGAGGAAGGGGAGGAGGCAGGCGGAGGAGAGAGAGGAGAAGGAGCATAAGTAAGTGAAGGAGAGTTGCGAGAGGAGTGAAGGGAGGGGGAGAAGGTGGAGGGGGAGGAAGAGGCAGGACAAGAAAGTAGAGAAACGAGCAAGAGGCAGGGAAAGGCAAAAAGAATGACGAGGGGAGAGGAAAACGGCGCGCCCATAGACGGCGGAACGAATGACAACATTGACTGCGGCCGAGGGAGCAGCATTATCTGGGTGAGGGTGGAGAAGACGTCTCCACATCCACTTTCTCTGAATCCCTGGCGAAGATCACCACACACTAGTGCGAGATAGATTTTGCCACGATCTGGCAAAGGGAGGAGGATGAGAAGAAGGGGGAGGCGGGACAAGGAAAAGGAGAGGAAGTAGGAGAACGAAAAAAACGGGGAGGAGGGGGAGCGGGAGAAGGGAGGGATGAGATGGGGGAGGAAAGTCAAAGGGGGAAAGGAGAAGGAGCAGGACGAGGTGGAGGTGAAGGTGGAGGATGAGGAGAATGGGGACGAGAAGAGGCGGGCGGGGAAGGAGGGCGTGGACACGGCGGTGCAGCGAGCGCACAGACGTCGACGTGGCCAGCCACTGCCGCACCCGCGGCACCCCCCTTCCTCAGCTTTGCCCTCCCCTCCCCACTCCTCTCCCTTCCCTTCCCCTCCCCCTCCTTCGCCATCACTTCCTCTCCCTTTTCCCGTCCCCCATTCCACCTTCCTTTTCCTCTTCCCCGTCCCATTCCTTCGCCATCCTCTCCCTTCCCTCCTGCCCTCCCCTCCCCCTCCGTCCTTCCCGCTCCCCCCCTTTCCCTCCGTCCCCCCCCCCCCCCCGTGGCCCCTCCCCCCCAGACCCTGCCCAGCTTCGGGCGAAAGGTCTGGACCCCGCGCCCCAGCCGCTCCCCAGCGATCGACCGCGCCCTCCACGAAGAGCGGGCTCCGCCCTCGGCGATCGCCGCCACTCGCTCCCACCGCCCGCCTCCGGACCAGCGACGCTCTCGGGGGCACTCCCCTGGGCGCCCCTGGTTGGAGGCCGTCCCTGCCCGCTCTCCTTCGTGCACGCAGTCGCCCGGGGAGCAGAGGAGCCACCCCCCCCCATGTGTAAGAGGCACCCCGACGAGCGAAGCCGTTCCGAAGACGCACCCAGGAGGAGGAATCGAGCAGGGCAGGGCTCTTCAGGGAACGCCCAGGGCCGTCGAGGAAGCGCAGATTGTCGGGGTCGGGGTGATTGTTCCGCCCTCGAGCTCCCCCCCCCCTCCGCCCCTTCCCTTGCCGCGCCTTCGAGGGGAAGCGACAGCGGGGGGCGTAGTTTGGACTTAAAGCGTAAGCGCCTTTGGCAAAGGCGGCTGGACAAACAGTCAGAGCCGAGCACGACAGGCGAAGACGGGACAAGGTGCAGCGCAGAAGAGAGAATGAAGCCGAAACGGCAAACATCTGAGGCGGTTGTGGAGAAATGCGTGCCGCATGCAGAATCACAGTGTAGCACGTCAAGACAAACATAGTATGGCAACTAGATTTTGGGCTGTTGTGCTGAACACTTCGAAATTAATGTTTCCGCCGCAAGTGGAAAGAACACCTAGTGAAATTCCAGGAAACATTCGTCGTCGTTTTGCCCCTCCAGATATTCCAGTAGACGGGAAAGCACGAATATAACAGCAGGCGAACTTGAACGCTTGACTTGTCGCCATATTGCATTTTCCCGAACTTGTGTATTGGCGTGGTGGCACGATCGCATGTCCGCATAGCCGCACACCTCGAGTTGAAATGTACATGTTTGGTTGCGCGCCTGCGTGCTTGCGCATGCGTGTTGCAGCGCTCTCCCATGATTGCGTGAATCCCGATTGGCGCGCCCATTCGCATGCGAGCTGGTGCAATCCGCCACCGTGCCCCCATGGCACTCTGAGCCGTGCTAGAATCTCAAGTGTTGTCTGGTAGGACTTGTGTAATCAATATTATGAAGGACCCCCCCCTCTGGGCCCACCCTGGTCGCGTGCACCCGCCATGTTCCCGGGGGGGTCCCTTGGGCGGCCATGGCGCCTCCCTGGAGTATCCCAAGACTTCCACGACTGCCCAGGAGGCCCCCAAGACGGTCCAAGACGGCACCGAATCCAAGAACGATCGTTCGAAGACGCCCAAGAAGGCAACAAGATGGCGCAAGAGGCCCCCAGCGCGTCACAAGGGGACAAGGGGACTCCAAGAGCTTGCCCCAAGAGGCAAAAATATTGATGTCCCCGCTGTTTTTGAAGGATTTGGGCGTTTTCGCGTTTTCGCCTTTTCGGCCGTACGACGCTCCAAACCGGCCCAAGAGGCCCCAAGACCACCCCAAACGGCCCAAGAGACCTCAGGACCCCAAGACGGCCTAAGAGCGCCCCAAGACGCAAAACGGCCCCAAAGGGGCCCCAGAAAGGGAACACAAACAGAAAATCCGAGCCCCCCGCCCCAAGGGGCCCCCAGGAGGCCCCAAGAGGCCCCCAAGAGGCCCGAGGCCCCAACAGGCCACCAAGAGGCCCCAAGACGGGCCTCAAGAGGCTTCAAGACTGCATCCAAGAGGCACTCGAGAGGCCTCCCACGAGATTCCAACGCACATCCACTCGGCTTAGACGTGCCGCAGGCAGCTGAATATATATATATATATATATATATATATATATACACACACACACAAACATATACAGATATAGATATATAGATATTCCTCTTCCTATATGTTTACAAGCCCGGGCGGGGGGGAAACCCATCCCCCCCCCAAAAAAAAACCGGACTCCCGGGATCTGGGGCTTTGGGAACCTCCGGACGAGCCTCGAAGCGGGCCCCAGGCCTCGCAGGGCGTTTTGCGAAGCCTTCCCAGCACACCTAGGGCGATCAGGGGGGTCATCGGAGACGTCCCAGAGACCCCCAAGACAGCACAAGAGCGCTCCAAGAGTGACCGACGTGACCTCAAGATGGCCCAAGAGGCCTCCAGGACGGCCCCAAAGAGGCCTCCAAGAGCACTCCCAAGAAGGCCTCCCGAAGCCAAAATCATTGCTGTTTTGTTGGATTTTGGTGTAGTCTGCGGTTCTCCTCTATTTGGCTTCCCGACGCTCCAAGACGGCTGTCTTCTGAAGCCGCCTGGGGGGCTCCAAAATCGCCCCACAAACATACGAAAGGGCTTCCACGCAGTCCAAGAGAGCCCCAAAACTGCACAACACGGGTCCAAGATGGCCCTCAGAGAGCCCCATGGCGGCCCAAGATGGCCCAAAGACACCCTCCGAAGAATTCCGAAGCGTGACCCGGTCGTTCAGGGAGACGGCGGTTGGAGGCAGGGTGGCCCGAGGAAGCCCCTGGAGGCCCCCAGAATACGCCCAGGAGGCCTCCATGAGGCCTTAAGAAAGCCTTCTCCTAGGAGGAGCCTCCGCAAAAAAAAGCTGAGGAAGATGGGGAGTGCGCGCAAGGATACAAGACTGCAGTGGCGCTTCGCGCCATGCACCTTGGTCCTTGAAGTTTGGTATGCAGGCGGCATGGCAGCAAGGTCAAGCCGACAATTTAGCGATAACTCCTGATTGCCTCCTCTGGCATTCCCGCTATAATGATGTTATTCGTTATCCTTCCCCCATGCTTATTGTTCCATATTTTCGCCATACCCTGCGCATTCCCCCCATCCTCCTCAGCTCTTTTTTGCGGAGGCTCCTCCTTGGAGAGCCTCCAGGGGCCTCACAAAAGTTGTTTCAAGCTTTCTTAACGCCTTCTGGAGGCCTCCTGGGCGCATTCTGGGGGCCTCTGGGGGCTTCCTCGGGCCACCCTGCCTCCAACCGCCGTCTCCCTGAACGACCGGGTCACGCTTCGGAATTCTTCGGAGGGTGTCTTTGGGCCATCTTGGGCCGCCATGGGGCTCTCTGAGGGCCATCTTGGACCCGTGTTGTGCCGTTTGGGGCTCTCTTGGACTGCCTGGAAGCCCGTTCGGATGGTTGTGGGGCGATCTGGGAGCATCCCAGGCGGCTTCGGACGCCCAGAAGACCGCCGTCTTGGAGCGTCGGGAAGCCGAAAAGAGGAGAACCCCAAAATTCACCAATAACCCGCAGAAAATCAATCATTTTTGCCTCAAGGGGCCTTCTTGGGAGTGCTCTTGGAGGCCTCTTTGGGGCCGTCCTGGAGGCCTCTTGGGCCATCTTGAGGTCACGTCGGTCACTCTTGGAGCGCTCTCGTGCTGTATTGGGGGTCTCTGGGACGTCTCCGATGACCCCCTGATCGCCCTAAGTGTGCTGGGAAGGCTTGGCAAAACGCCCTGCGAGGCCCGGTGGCCGCTTCGAGCCCCGTCTGGAGGGCCCCAAAGCCCCAGGTCCCGGGAGTCAGGTTTTGGGGGGGGGATGGGTTTCCCCCCGCCCGGGTTTATAAAAATATAGGAAGAGGAATAGGTATATATATACACATATACATATACATATACATATACATATACATATACATATACATATGCATATAAATATACATATACATATGTATATATGAATATATATATATATATATATATATATATATATATATATATACAAATGTATATATTTATGTATATACATATATGTATATACAGATCTCTCTATATATATACACATATATATAACACGCTTCCATGCCCAAATCCATAAAACGAACCGGGAAGTCACCATCCAGATCGCGACCTGACACAAGCCAAACTAACGGAATGGAAATCGGGCAGCTGCGTTACGTCCACCTGGGCATACGCGTTAAATTTCCGGCGCAACCAGGCGCGCACGCACTGCTGCCGATTCCCCGTCCAAAGGCACAGTACAAGCAGCCAATTGGCACTGGCGATCTTGGCCCCAAGCTGCTTTGCTTCTGACCGAGCGATGTGTTTCTCACCCTCGAAAGCACCGTTTCGTCGCGTCCTTCTCGACGCTGCCTTCGCACACCCTCCGTGTGTCCAGTTCCACCCAAGCTTTAGGCAAGAAATGCCCCTTGCCCCGGCCCATGGGCGGCGCGGCTGGCTGGGGGCGACGAGCGGCCGAAGCAGCCGGGCGAGAGCGATGTGTTCGAGATGGCCATCGGATGGGAAGCTGCGCATCGGCAGACGCAGTACCGGGCCACGCGCGCGCGAAAGAGAAGCGGCAGACGCAATAGGAGATCACATGAGCACGCTGCAGGTAACCAGCAGCAGCGCTGGACACTGCCTAGGCAGCAGGCGCCCGCCGCACCGCGGCACGCGAGCGCGACTGGCGGCAAACCTGTCTGCGAAAAACGGGATCGCGCAGGACGGGATGGCCACGATGGAGGGCGCGAGATTTCACCCGCGCGAGCTCGAGGCCCCCAATGCAGACTGGCGCACGAATGCGGCTCGCGAAGCGCACGGGCTCGGCTATCACCGCTGCCATGTGATGCCGCGCTGCGTCTCCGTCGAGTTTGATAATCTCCATGAGAACAGTGGCGTTGCCCAGGGAGTCTCGCAGATTGCAGCGCACAAGTGCCCGTGGAAGTTCAACGCAAATGAAGGAGAGGCTGGCCGTCGAGTGCATCGCAAGCGCGCTGTGACGAGATGCCAATTTCCCTGTGCCAGAGCGTGTTCGCACAGTGCAGACCGCGTAGAGACTCGGCATGCACGCAGCTACGACGACGCTGTCACAAACATGGGCCCCTGAGATTGGTGGCAGCACCTGCATGTGATGCTCAGCCGCGCTCAGCGTGGCCCATCGCGTTCTCGCGCACGACCTGACTCCATGGGACATCCTGGCGAAGGGGCCCGCCTGCGCACGTTAGCGACGGATTTCGCCGACTCGAGGCGACGGCACTGGGAAACTTCGCGGGCGCCCGGCCGAGGGCGAAGGAGCACGGGCGGGGCGTCGGGGGCGGCCCCATGGAAGAGAGCGGCGCGGCGGGCGCGGCGCGGCGGGCGCGGCGCGGAGCGCGCGGGCCACCACGGCGACGGCGCTGCAACGCCTTTGAGCTCGGAGACCACGCCGCCTGCGGCGCCTCGGGCATCGCCGCCGGGCGCGCGCTCGGGCGCCGGCTCTGCTCGGTGCGCCGGCGGCGTCGACGGGCCGGCTTCGAGGGCGCCGCCGGCGCCGCTCCCGCGGATGCAACGCCGGCTCCTGCGGCGGATGCGCAGACGCTGCTGCCCGCGACGCTGCTGCGCCAAGGCCCTTCGGAGCTGGCGAGGCCAGCGGCGGCACGCACTGCGCCAGGCGCAGGTTCTGCTGGGCACGGCATGAGCGGCGGCCGCGGCGAGGGCGCAACGGCGGCCCAGGTGGGCCAACGCACGGCGGCCACGGCGCTGGGAAGCACGGAGCGACGCCCCGGGCTGCGGCTGGGACGTCGCCCACTGGCCGAACCTGCTCCGATCTTTGCCGCCGGGCTTGGACCTCTGCGCAGAGGCCGCGCAGCCTCCCAGGAGGAGGTGTTTCGAGAGCTGCAAGGGCGTTAATTTCGG